GGTCACTGTTCTTTAGTTTGTAAACATATTCACCTCTTTAATACCAGAGGTATTGGCTAACCCCTAATTTCTAAAAGGAGAGCTAAATTTTTTTGTCATCTGCTGTAACTGTTCTATGAACCACCTTTTTTCTTTCTATGTGTAGTTCTTTTTCCACCAGTGTGCACTTGAGCCCGAAATTTGGCAAATTTCTCTTGATTCATGATCATTTCTTTCATCTTGTCAGAGAGTAAATGGGACTGCATGGCAGACTAGGGTAGGCACTAGGGGGTCTTTAGCAGATCAGTTGTAATAGGCTGCCTATTCTAGCCAGTTTTGAATAGTCTTCAGCAGTATTTTCCTTGCATGTTGCATTTTTCCTTCTCTGAACCAATATGCAATATTGTACAGGATGGTGAAATGATTGAAGTTGTCAAGAATTTCATTTTACTTAGATCCACAATCAAACCTATAGTAGGTATGTTTTTTCCAACACCCATGATCAAATAAGTTGCATTGGGAAAGTCTGCTGTCAAAGACCTCTTCAAAGAGTAGGTATATATCACTTTGTGCCTGATCTAATCCACAATATTTTCAATTACATTCTATGCTTCTGAAAGTTGGATGATTAGAAAATGACCAAAGAAGAGTTTAAGATTGAATAGTAATGTTGGTTAAGATTGTTGAATAGTCCACAGATTGCCAAAAGAACAAACGAACTTGTCTTTGAGTTAGTGTAGCTTTAGAGGTAATGACGGTGAAACTTCACCTCACATAACGCTGGGCATGTCATCAGGATGGATCAGTCCTTGGATAAAAGGCATCATGCTGGAAAGGGTAGAGGGTCAGGAAAAGAGGAGAAGACTAGCAACAAGATGGATTGACACAGTAACTGTAACAATGGGCTCAAGCATAACAGAGATGGCGAGTCTAGGGCAGGACAGTGCATGGTTTGTATCTGTAGCCCATTGGATTACGTTTACTCATAAGCAGCTACACAATACCAAACAACTACAACAACACTATATTAGACACTATTCCATTTCCACTCCATAATTATTTTAATGGTATTTTCTTTAGTAGATGTTCAGATACTTCTTTTTAGTCTGCCTTAGTCTAGAAGCTCTCTTGAAACCCGTTTTCTAAAGACGACCCTTCTCATATTTGAGCATCCTAAATAAACAAGCCACCTCAGTACAAACTCATAGCTGAGTGGTGGAAGTGACTTAGAGCCTATTGAGACTCTTTCTTATCAGAAATAGGCTATCCTAAATCATATTTAATGACTCTAGTGAACATGGATTAACATCAGACCCCACAAGAGATAAGGTAATATCAGACACTGATTGTAGAGCAAAAATAAGCCTATGGATAGGCGATAAGCATTGTATCCTGAGAATTCAGGTAATCATTATATCTCTGACAACTTTATATGAAAGGTGGAAAGTGAATGCCAATGAAATTAATTTATAGGGTAGAAAAGGAATGACATGTATAATGCAATATCTAAATGTTAAGCCAATATTATTTGAAGATACACTTTCATAAATAATTTAAATAAACTTTTCTGTCTAGATGAATAATTCATTAATAAAATGACGGCCTCCAAGGGACTGATATGGCAGTTTTGTGTGAGAGACAGGATCCATAGACGATATTTGACTCAATTCCTTTATATTGCTATATTCTAATTACTTAAAATTATAGTCACCCTGTATTTGAAGTATAAATCATAGGGCAAATATAAATGATTAAACGGCTAAAACTAAATTGGAAGTGTCTGCATGTTGGCCTGGACCCAATATGCTCTGCTCCTGAGAACAACCTATTATTAGAGAGGGCAGATGGGAATTCACTAAGTTAAGTATTACTGTCTCTAACAGTGAAGATCAAGCCTCAGAGGGCTAACATTGAATGATGCAAGTTTATGCTACATCACAATTGTTTCAAACAGACTCTCTGACATCTTATAACACAGAAGAAAACATTAGATCCTTGTATCTCCTGACATACTGAACAAAGCTACTTCTACTTGATCTCGAAATACAGTCAACTGGGATTCCAAAAGGGATCTAAATGGCACAGCCGTCTTCAGTGTTACTTCTTAATTGGAACTCAATGAAACTCAATTCATTGCCATTATGTTGGAACTATCCAGTGAATTTTTCATAGACTATAAATCACATGGGAGGAGACTACCAATCTTTCTTTGTTGGAGCAGCTAGTAAATTGGAGAGAATATAAATAAATCACTTGGTAAAACAGAATTAATATTTCTTCATTAGGTTCATAGACAACTATAGCATCTGCTATATTTCTTTTGGAATGAAGTAACAACTTTAATTCAACAAATTTAAAACAAAATTTAATATTTGGATGACCTTCCCTCCATTTATATCCTGAACAACTTATTTGTAAGTTTTTAATTTAGAATTCTTTTACCTTGGTCTTGAACTCTTTGGGAAAAGTTGTTTCATATGAGTGAGTCTTATTTAAAATAATCTTAGAGATTTTTGTACAACTTTACATGTTTGATCAACTAAAAAAAACTGGACTCCTAGACTCAATTTTATTATTTGGTTGAATATATAATATGTAAGTTTTAATTATTAACTAAAATTAATTTCAAAATATAACATTTATTAATTATAAAATAATTTCTAAGGATTGTCAATATTTCATATATACTATCATGTGTACTTAATCTCATGATGTTTATTTTCCATATAAGGAATTTAAGTCCTAGAATTCATTTCATACTCATGTTCTAATTTGGGTTAGATCAAGTAATTTTGCTTCATGTCTTTTTTAACTTTTAAGGAAAAAAATCTAAAAATATTTAAATTAATTTCTTGCTATCTTAGAAATGAAAAGAGTATTTCTACATTTCCAGAAGAGGAATGTTTCTGGAAATATCTGATATGAGATTCTCTGAGGTTTTTTGTTTTTTGATAGTTTAATACGAGTTTCATTCCAGTGACCTCCTTCTTTGCCATTATTTCAGATTTACAAGGCAGATGCCCTCTTTAAGGAAGTGGTTTACATTTCATATTGCTTTTGTTTTGCTAAAATTTATACCATCTGTTGACTTAAGTTAATTAACTTTTGCTAGGATAAGTAGAGAATGGAATGAATGTGGACTAAGTAAATTTGTCTTCCTTTTGAGTTTTTGGTTGTTGCTCTGTACCTCCATCAACTGGTACAGGAGGAGATTGCCCGTTCTCCAGCAATGCATCTGGTAGATTTGAACCACACACCTTCAGGATTGCTATTTTGAGTCTTGAAAAATGATTCCTCACTGAGCCGTTGTGAAAATAGAAAGGAAACATCACAAAGGCATATAGTTGATGGTTGTGATGCAGCACTGAACTAAAAGTTCAAGGTACAGTTTGATTCTCAATAGGGCTGGAACAAGTATAGAAATACAAATCTTACAGACTATAGCCAACCACTGCCATCGTTGAGTTTCGTTTAGTTGACAGATGAAAACATGCTGATACTACACTTCCTTATGTTACTGAACATAAGGGGTTCTTTGCAAAGGGTTCTTTCTGTAGTCAGTTGTCAATAAGACATACAGATTGAGATATCTGAAGCACTTTATTGCAGATCTGGGATAGCACTGAGAATCATCTCAAAAACTGTTTCTCCTCTATTAGTGGTGACTGGTTTTTATACTTGGATTAGATGTTAATTTCATTAACATGTTACTTTTGTTACTTAAAGGTATGAGATTTCCACATTCAGAAATAACAGTTTATATACAGTAACAACTAAATAGACAACTTGTGAGATAGTTTACATATGACTGGGAAAATACTATTTTAAAGAGGTAAATCCTAATCCAGGAACAATGCATTCTCCTCCCTGGTAAACAGGCAATGTAAGATACAATTACCTATGACCAAGAAAAAAGTTTCAGAGAGGTAAATGCTAATCAAGCAAAGATGCATTTCTTCTCCTCAGAAATAGGTGAGTCAAAGTACCTTACATTACTAAAGAAAGAAAAATAGAATTGTAGGGCATGCCAGCTAATTTTTGAACCTTGAAGCAAACAATATCAGTTTTATAACTATACTAACAGTTATGTTTTGATAATTCTGAATTTATTAATACTACCCTATCATGCATCAGAAAGCTGGACAATGACTAGGGATAATAGAATGAGAATTGATGCCTTTGAGCTGTGGTGCTGAAGAAGAGTGCTGGGTCTACCATGGACTGCTAGGGGAACAAACAAGATTGTCCTGAAGAGGGTGAAGCTGTAAGGTCATTGAGGAAGGACAGAAAACTCAGTTCAGGCCAAGAAAGGTTGTTTTTTGAGGAGAAAATTCTGTGTTGTCTCTCAAGCAGAAGACCAGCCCCCACTAATAGTTAGAGAGGGATTTTATACTTTCTTACAAGGGACTTGGGGAAGGCAATTCTTACAGATGCTTCTTTCAAGATAGGAAAGTGGGCTGGGGTCTCAGATAACTATTCCTGGGGGTAAAGGGTAGGGTAGGGTAGTTTCACAGAGAGAAAAAGCACAGCTACTGTTTCCTGTGATTGGATTATCTCAATAGCCATTCTGGGAGAGGAAGTAAAGGGCTCTGTAGAGCTAACAGAAGCCAGGCTGCTCCTTGGAGACAAAGACTCTAAAGCTTCATTTTGGACATGTTGCAAGACAGGACCAGACCTTGGAAAAGAACATAGTTCTTGGGAAGATGGAAGGACAGCACCAGAGAGGAAGACCCTTGATGAGATGGATTGGTTCAATGACTGGAGTAATGGGGGCAGGTGTATCAGAGATAATAAGATTGGCACAGGATACATCAAGGTTTAGGACTGTTGTACATAGTGTCACTATGAATCTCAGGCAACTCAACAGTATATAACAACAACAATCGTATCATGTCTACTGCCGCTGCCTTTTCAAATAGATCTTCAAGCAAATAAATGAAGCTTTAAAAATCACTAATTATAAATAAAATATTGCTTTTCCCCCCCTCCAGATTTTCCACCTCCCAGTGAGTGCTTAGTAAATGGAAAACAAAGACAACGTGACTGAATTCATTCTTCTGGGTCTTACCAAGAACCCAGAGCTACGGAAACTATTCTCTGCTGTGTTTCTTATCATGTATATGGCCATCATATTGGGAAACCTACTTATTGTGATAACCCTGAGTGCAAGTCAGAGTCTGAGGTCACCTATGTATTACTTCCTTACTTCCTTATCCCTTACTGATACCACATATTCTTCTGTCATCACTCCCAAGATGATTGTGGACTCCCTTTCTGAAAGTACTACTATCTCCTTTGAAGGTTGTATGACCCAACTCTTTGCAGAACATTTCTTTGGTGGAGTGTCAATCATTCTTCTCATTGTGATGGCCTATGACCGCTATGTGGCCATCTGTAAGCCCCTCCACTACGTGACCATCATGAGTCCACGTGTGTGCTGCCTGCTGATCGGAGGTGCTTGTGTAGGAGGATTTCTACATGCGATGATTCAGCTCCTCTTCATGTACCAAATACCTTTCTGTGGTCCCAATGTCATTGATCACTTTATATGTGACTTATTTCAATTGCTGACCTTGGCCTGCATGGACACTTTCATCCTGGGCCTCTTGGTCATTCTCAACAGTGGGGTGATGTGTGTTGCTATCTTTGTTATTCTCATTGCATCCTACGTGGTGATTCTCTGTTCCCTGAAGACTTGCAGCTCTGAAGGACGTCGGAAGGCCATCTCTACCTGTGGCTCTCATCTCACAGTGGTCATTTTATTCTTTGTGCCATGCATTTTCTTATATGTAAGACCTGTGGCCATTTACCCCATAGACAAGGCAATGGCAGTTTCAGATTCTATTATCACACCCATGTTAAATCCTTTAATCTACTCTCTAAGGAATACAGAGGTTAAAAATGCCATGAAGAAACTTTGGATAAAAAGAGAGACGTCAGTTGCCAAGTAACACATCATGGTGAGAATATGAGTTTCCCATAAAGAGAAGCCATTTGGAATATTTACAGTGGACAGATTATGATACACTTTTGCTTCATACTTTTCCTTGTCTTAAGAAGTGCATTGCTATGTCCTTAAATTTTCCAAATGATCGATGCCTCACAATATCTTTCTAACTATATCTTGAGCTCTTCATCTCCTCTCTGTAAACAATTTTTTTTTAGTATTTTCCTATCTACTTCTAGAACTATCTAATGGAACACTGGTGGCCTAGTGGGTAAAGAGTTCAGCTGCCAAATCAAAGGTAGGTGGTTTAAATCCACCAGGTGCTCAGAGGGCAAAAGACGGGAAATCTCCTTATGGTTTTCTGCTTCTGAAAGTCCACTGAAGGCTCACCTATAAGGGGGTTCCAACTGGATAACAGTGAGAGAGACTGTGAGTGAGTGAATGAGTGAGTGAGTGAGGAGAAGCTAAGGGCTTTTTTTTTTCTTCTCCCCCACCCCCCATAGGCAGCTCTTTCCTCTCACATTTTTGGTCTTTTATTAGCATCCCTTCCTCTAGGAAACCTTAGCCAATGATTAATTAACAACTCAGCCTTGCCAATATTTTCTAATCATTAATTTAGCTTCTTTCTATATTTGTTGTTGTTATGTATCATGGAGTCAGAACCAAACCATAGCTGATCCTCCAGTGGGTTTTCTGAGACAGTTAATCAAATGGGAGGAGATCTCTTATCCTTCTCCTGTGGACCAGCTGATGGATTTGTACCATGTGCCTTTGGGATTGCAATGCAGTTTATAATGACTAGGTCACCAAAGCTCCCTTTCTTTTTATTACATGCTTTAGAAACAATCTCCTTATTAATTTTTTGCTTAGAACTAACCCAATGTGATCACTTTGACTGATAACATAGATATTTTCCTGGGCATATATTTTCTGCCTTAGGTCAGTCCAAGGTATCTCCAGTGGTCTTGTAGATGAAGAGTTGTACTGTATATCCAAAGGAAGGGGGTCAAATCCATCGGCTCCTTCAAGAAAGAAGTATGAGCTATCTCCTGCAATACAACTCAGAGCCTTTGAAAACTCTTTGGTGGGTCAACCATGACTCAACCACGTATAACAACCATAGCAAAAAACAAATCCAGCTCAAGTTTCCAATATACATAAGACACAACTATTATTCCTTCTCTAAATCCTTAAGGGAAAGGGGAGAGAAAGGTCTCTAGTCTCAGCTCTTCTTCTGACCGAGTAGAGCACAGTGTGGCGAAAAGATATTGATATCCCACAGATATTTAGGGATGATGGTCATCTTTCATTTCATATAGCTGCTTCATCATATAATGATTTCAAATGATTAGTGTCCAATACACGTCAACACTAATCAGACATATTTTCTTTCTTGACACCCCGGTAATGATTCGTTTCATAATTCTGAAACTCATTTTTGTTCAAGATGCTTCACACTGAAAGGTAGAGATGGACAGACTGAAAATGGTCCCTTCATCATATAAACAGTCACAGGTGTATTTTTCTAATAACTATTTTGGATCTTTTATGAGGTCACTTGTGATTTGTAGGTGTTCTTTTTCCCCACCTGCCCTGGGTCTTACTTCAGCTGGAATTGATTTTTAGCTTCCTTTTCTTTTTCCTAATCTTACGCTTGTGTAGTGACATCACTACTGTTAGTGTCACTCATGTGGTAAATCGTAGACCGTCCCTTATCCCCACCACATGGACCTTTCTTGGGCCAGAGAATCCTTAGTTAAGTTGATTATTAACTTGAGATAAAATGGTATGTGATAAATACACTTATAAATTGATTTCTCATATTTTACTTTAATTATACAAATATTAACAAATTTGTTTTCAAATATTCTACATTGAGAGCTCTCTTTGTATCATGTGATATCTCTGGCCAACATCTTTCCCCATTCAATCATTCCACACTGTTAGTTACATTATTAGTAACTGATCAAAAGCCTTTTTATTTGTTTTTCTCCTCCATAGTCCGTAATTACCACCTTATTTTTTAAAAGGTTTTTACATAGGTTAAAAAAATGTAAACTACTACGATTACTGAAGCTAAAACACCAATAATAGGGTTAAAAGTCAGTGAAAAAATACTGGCAACAATGCAAACAAGTTCTAGGGCACTGTGCAAATGAAACCATGTGATTTAAGTATCTGTGTAATGAACTCCTAATGGGTGTGGCACATTAGAAGAGTCAAATAGTAAATTAGCAAATAATCTTGCCCTTGTTGGTATATTGATGTATATAAACTCGGCTTATGAAAAAGTTTTGTTGATGTAATGAACTACAAAAATATTTAATTAAGAAAAATAAATGAATGCTGAAATACTGTGCAAAAATACTAGACAGTTATTTGAGTGTCACTTCTGAGAATGTCACTGGATGACGTCTCAAATCTGCATCTCCCTTCCACTTTGATTCTACTTTTGTGGTGTGTTTTGTTGCTTTGCTTTTGTTTTTGTTTTTTTAGCCTTCTTGAAGTCACTGTTAATTCTTCACTACTTGAGCTGCTTTGTCAGACCTAAGGATTGGAATTTATTTTGTAGGGTGATCTTTCTTTTTAAAAATTATGTTTATGCCTACAAATTTTGGTCAATAGTATATCTTTTCAATGTGTACAAACAGATGTTTCTCAATTTTGAGTAACATGTAACCACCATCTAAGAACAATCAACTTATTTGTTCATTTATTATTATCTCCAACAATGATATAACTGTGATTTAAAAATTGTAATATAGCACAGTGTTAAAGCAGAACTTTTAGCCACATGCAATAGAAAAGAAATCTCAAAATGTGGTCCAAATTACAACAAAGCCATTCCCATAACAAAGACAATGATAAAACTTAAACACTTCACAACTAGATACAGGAGAGGAAAACTAGTCAGAGTGTAATGGTAGAATGCTTTGTCATAATAACCTTGAGGAACCATCTGTAGAAAGAATCTGATACCTTGCCCACCAGAAGAGTTGAAGTACACTTGCCTCTCCCCTCACTGCTGATTTTTGTTTTTATTTTCTGTTTTTGTGAAAAGATATGAGTTTGTTGCTGCTTACTCTGACATTTGACTCACAAAACCCTCCTACATAAATTTTCAGTGGTTTGGCAACCAGCAGTCAAAACCAAGTTTTCTAGTCAAGTACCTGACAATGTATCTATGAACATGCCTGTTCATGATGATTGTGACAGTTTGTACATATATATGTAAATGCATGCTAGGTGGACATACCAGAGGGTTATTCTGACATACTAGCATCTGATCTTAACTTGGGTGGACACAGGAAAGAGAGATTGAAAAAAATACAAAAACAAAAAACCTAGGCAGAGAGAGAGCTTGGGTGACTTACAGTGTCTGTGTAAGACTGTCCAATGAGGAAGGCTTTGGTAGAGATTTCCAAGGTACTCACGAGCTTCTAGGATCACCCTAACAAATTCTTCCACAGTCCAAAAAACAACATTAAAATGTGTAAGTTTCTAGTCTGTTGTGGACTAGCTGAGGTTGACCCAATTCATATGGTACTAGAATACATTCTGGAAAACAAATTTGGAGGACATACACACACTCATCTTGCTATTGTTGTTACTATTTTGTGCTTTTGACACAACCAACCGATAGCATATTCTGTAGTGAGATTTCAGGGGCAGCAAGTTTTTCTGGAGGAGTTTGACCATCCTTCTCCCATGGTGCAGCTGGTGGATTTGAATTGCACATCTTGGGGATTGTAGAACAGTTTCTTACCACTAGACCACCCGAGCTCATCTTGTTATTAGTCAACACATTCCTTTCTGAAGAATAGTTTTTATAGCAAGTAAAATTACAAAGTGCAGATGGTCAAATATTGATAGAATTCAATCATTATAGGTTGTTTAAAATGTCTATGAACTTTAATCATGGTACTAAGCGTAAGTAATATAATCCTTTCAGAATGTTAACTGTATGTATACAATCATTCAAGAAATCTATAGAAATATATTGCATGTAGCAATATAGATATGGACAGACAGACAAATGGACAGATGGAGGTCATTTCCAAAGAGGAATATTTAATCTGTGCTGTCAAAGTGACAAGAATTGTGGTGGTGCTGAAGTTAAGGCATTCAGCTACTAATCAAAAGATGGGCAATTTGATCTCACGGTCACTCAGTTACAATGAAGCAGTTTGTTGTAATAAAGATTTACAGCCTCAAATATTCCAAGGAGGAATTTTATTTTGCCTTTGAATTATTGTTTATTTGTTTGGTTTTTTGTTTTGCCAGCCTAATAAAAAATAAGATGTTATGAAAATAGAAATTAAATTCACTGTACCTTATCAGCTGAAGTTACAATTTGTGACACCATAACTTTCTCATGGCATTTTTCACCTCTGCATTCCTCAGTGTATAAATCAGAGGGTTGAGAAAGGGTGTACAAATTGTATAAAACACAGCCATCATCTTGTCCACTGGAAATGTGGTTGCTGGGCGTGTGTATATGAATATACAAGGGCCAAAAAATAGGACCACCACAATAAAATGGGTGGTGCAGGTGGAAAGAGCTCTCCGCCTTCCTTCTGCACTGTGGTTTCTCAGAGAGTATAATATGACAACATAGGACATAAGCAAGAGTATGAAACTCACCATGCATATGGCCCCACTGTTGGACACAACTAGCAAATTTATCACATACGTGTCCATGCAAGCAAGTCTTAACAAGGGCTGCAAGTCACAGAAATAGTGATCAATCACATTGGGGCCACAGAAGGGCAGTTGCAAAGCCAGGAAAGTCTGTGCTGAAGAATGAATACAAGATCCTACCCAGGCCACAATCACTAACACACTACAGACACGCCTGTTCATGATGCTTGTGTATCGCAGGGGCTTACAAATGGCCACGTAACGGTCAAAAGCCATGATGATGAGCACAAAGATCTCCATGCACCCAAAGAAATGAGATGCAAAGACCTGAGTCATGCATTCATTGTAGGAAATCGTTTTCTTCTGAGACAGAGCATCTACAATCAGTCTGGGAGCCGTAGTCGTAGAAAAGCAGGCATCAGCAAAGGACAGGTAGAATAAGAAGAAGTACATGGGACTTCCCAGGGTTACGCTTTTCTTAATAGTCACCACAATGAGCAAGTTCGCCAGCAGAGTCAGAAGGTAAAGAAGAAGAAAGACGCCAAATACGGCTTTCTGTTTTTCCGGATCCTGAGTCAACCCAAACAGAATGAATTCAGTCACACTGTTATTCATCACTGTGTCCTCAGCTGTAGGTAGGATGCAGTTGAGAATGTTTTAATCTGTAATGAAAGGGGGGAAAGTGACATCTTGGGGAAGTGACTGGTGTCAGGTGTTTATTCATTGGTTCTTGCCCATATTCTATATCTTCCTATTACCTTTGGTGCACTTTGGGGCTACAGTCTTCAATATGGATGGCATCTCAACATCAAGAGAACAAAAAACCTCACCCTAGACTGATAGACAGTATCATTATCGATGGAGAAAAGACTGAAATTACAGTATTTATTTTTCAAATCATAATTCAATTGATAAGCACACTGTAGTTAATTGTCATAGAGAGAAATTATTCTATTTTTCTTTTATCACTTTACTCAGTCTTATTCAGCTTCTAGACAGAACACTGGGCTTTTGTATCTGAATTTAATCTGCATATATTTCTCAATTTCTATCTTTCTAATATTCCTTTAAATGAAATAATTACTGTTGGGCATCAAATACAAACCTATCAATGAATCAATAGTTTTTGTTGTGTGCCATCAGGTAGGAATTGACTCAGAGCTGATCCTCCAACAGGTTTTCAGAGGCAGTAAATCAAATAAGAGGAGACTGCCCATCTTTCTCCCCAGAAGTGTCAGCAAATGTATTTGAACTGCATGCCTTCGGGATGGCCAAGATGTTCAAAACACTAGATTTTATCTCTCTTTCTTTTAGTATCTATCTATCATCTATCTATCTATCTATCTATCTATCTATCTATCTATCTATCTATCTATCTATCTCTGTTATTTATCTATCTATCATTTATCCATCCATCCATCCATCCATCCATCCATCCATCCATCCATCCATCTATCCATCCATCTGTCCATCTGTAGGACCTCAGGTGATCTCAGAAGATAGCATTAGGAAAATCGGATGTCCAAGATCTCTCTAAAAATTGCTGAAGAGCAATGATGTCAGTCAAAGACCAAGGTGAGCTTGATTCAAGCCACAGTCTTTCCAATCACCTGCTGTGCATCTGAGAGCTGGACAATGAATAACAATGACAGGAAAGGAAATGATGCTTTTGAGCTGTGGTGTTGGAGAAGAGTGTTGAATATCCCATGGACTGCCAAAAAACAAATAGATAACACTTGGAAAAATGCAAGCAGAATGCAACCAGAAGCTAGGTATATATGTGTAGTTGTTATACACTATAGAGTTAACTATGACTTATAGGGACCCTATGAACAACATCATGATTAGGCAAAGGCGTTTGACTGTGTGAACCAAAACAAACTGTGGCTGACTCTGAGAAGAATGGGAGTCCCAGAACTCTTGATCGTGCTAATGCAAAACTTATACTTGAACCAAGAGGCAGTCGTCAGAACAGAGCAAGGAAACATTGCATGGTTCAAAATTTAGAAGGACATACGTGAGGGGATGTGTCCTGTCTCCATACCTTTTCAACCTGTATGCAGAACAGATCATCTGAGAGGCTGGGCTCTATGAGGAGAAATATGGTGTCAGGATTGGTGGAAGATCTATCAACAATCTGTGTTATGTAGATAGCACAACTCTGCTTTCTGAAACTGAGGAGGACCTGAAGCACTTGCTGCTGAGGGTCAGGGACTACAGACTTTAATATGGATTGAGGCTCACTGTCAAGAAGACAAAGATTCTCACCAATGGGCCAAATGGCAGCATCAGGATTGATGGTGAAGGGATCGAGATTGTTCACAGCTTTAGTCGGCTTTCCTCCACAATCAACATTCTTGGCTGGCACCAGCAGCCAGGAAATTAAAAGACATATTGCGATGTGAAAGTCTGCTGTTAGGGACCTCTGTACAGTACTCAAGAGCAACGGTGTGTCTCTGGAGACTAAGTTGCATCTGGGACAGGCCATGGTCTTTGCAATCACTTGTTATGCATCAGAGAGCTGGACAATGACCAGGGAGGATAAAAGGAGAATTGATGCTTTTGATCTTTGGTATTGGAGAAGAGTGCTGAGGGTGCCATGGACTGCTAAGAAAACAAATAGATTCCTCCTGGAGAGGGTTAAACCGGGCTGCTCCTTGGAGGCAAGGATTCTGAGGCGTTTTCTGACATATTTGGTCATGTTGTAAGGAGAGACCTGTCCTTGGAGAAGGGCATCATGCTTGGGAGGGTGGAGGGCAGGTGCAGGAGGGCAAGGCCCTCTGGGAGATGAATTGATTCAGTGATCAGGGCAATGGGATGAGTGTGTCAGAGACAATGACATTGGCACAGGACAGAGCAGAGATTAGAACTGTTGGATATAGGGTCGCTATGAGTTGCAAGCAACTCAATGGCACATAACAACAACAACATGAACAACAAGTAAAACTTGCAAATCCTGAGCCAACCTCATTGTTTCTGAAACACTTGAGCACATTACCAGTCACTGAGTCAATCTCATTCAGCATCTTCCTCTTCTATGGTGACCCTCTACCCTTCTAAGCATGATTTCCTTCCCCAAGGACTGGTCCTTCCTAATACATGTGCAAAGTAAAGCATGGTGGACATAGTTTAAAAATCCATGCCTTTGAGGAACAACATGGTTTCATCATCTCCAGGACAGAGCTGTTTGTTCCCTTGGCAGTTTATGAAATGTTAGATCCTCTATATAATATGTTGTTGTTGTTTGTCATTGATTTGGAACTGATCCATAGATAGCCCTCCAGCGGGTTTTCAGAGGCAGAAAATCACACAGGAAAAAAGATTGTCTATTTTCATCCTATAAAACAGTGGTGGATTTAAACTGTGTGCCTTTGCAGTTGCAGAACAGCTTCTTATCACTAAGCTACTAGAGCGGAGAGATAGAGATAGAAACATATATTCATAATCTAGCATTTTCTCTCTTTCTCTCTTTCTCTCTTTCTCTCTATCTCTCTATCTCTCTATCTCTCTCTCTCCAGAAGAGAACTGTCCTCAAGGACAGTTTGGACATTGAAAAACTCATAAAATGTGCTGTATTCTTTTTACTGGAGAGAGTTCCAAACAACACGTTATCAGGTGCAAGCTTTCAAGACTTAGAATGGAGAAGTAAGTTAGTACATACTTCTGAATGTTAGTCTGAAGCCATGTTGCCTAGATTCCAACCTCACCGCACTGACCATCAGAGGTGTTGCACTTAACAAGATCCTTGATGTCTCTGCTTTATTTTCTTCATCCATAAGAAATCACAAAGTCATGTGCCTTTTAAGATATGTTGTTGTTGTTGTTGTTAAGTGCTGTTGGGTCACAGGCAACTCATAGCGACCCTATGAAGGAGAGTCCTCGATGCTTGGGTGTCTCTCATCATCTCCCCAGCTTCATAGGGTTTCCAGAAGCAATCTATTACAAAAGTGATTGCCACTCCTCCTGCCAAGCTTGTTTTAATTGGAGAGCTCCACCCCACTCTCTGTCCACATTGGGTAACCAGCCATTAATGCATTTGACACATCAGTGTCACAGTATTCAGCCTCACAGCAACCACAAGTGACTGCTGTACGGCAACTTGTACACCAGGGCTATACAACCTAGAAGAATGTCTGAACAAAAACAATGAAAGACAGGCCCTTGGGCCCATGGCCCTCAGGCCCTTCAGGTTTAAGCTAGCCGGAAAGCACAAATTTTGGCAAAGTCCTTCAGCCAGACCCCCAGTTTCTCTGGCATGTCTGCTCTGCCGACCCCCACATGGGCCCAAAGAACACTAAAATTGCCCTAAGCTTTCAAACTCAAACCTGCCATGCCTCAAGGAGCAAGAGTCCAGATTCAGCTGACATTAAGTCCCTCCCAAATCATATCAGTTAGCACAGATATAAAATAGACGTGAGGTTTATCCAGCCTGCAAAACTATTTTAAGATATGTAGATAGGTTAAATAATTTAATTTTTAATTATTATATTCATTATAATTTATTTTCCTTACAATTAGCAATATTGAGTTTGTGAAATATATTTTCAAATTTTAAAAATAAAATGTTAAATGAAGTTCTCTGTCTACGCAAAATAGTCAGAAGATCAGGAGTATAGCCTTAGGAAAGTCGGCTATCAGAGATCTCTCCAAAATTGCTGAAAAGCAATGCCAGTCAAAGACCAAGATGTGCTTGATTCAAGCTACAGTCTTTCCAATCACCTGTTATGAATCTGTGAGCTGGACAATGAATAAGAATGACAGGAAAGAAAGTGATGCAGTTGAGAAGAGTGCTGAGTATCCCACGAACTGGCAAAAGAACAGATAACTCTTGAAGAAAATGCAACCAGAATGTCCCTTAGATGCAAAGTGGTGAAGCTTCACTTTATAAATTTTAAACATGTTAGGCTATTCCTTAGGAAAGAACATCATTCTTAAAAAATAAAGAGTCAGAAAAGGAGAGCATCCTCAGTGGGATAGATTGAGATAGTGTCTGTGGCAATAGACTAACAAATGATGAGGATGTTACAAGATAGGCCAGAGTTCTATTGTTCCTAGGGTTGTTGTCAGTTATACACAACTCATTGGCATTTAACAACTACTGTATGAAGTCCCTTTGTTGAATTGATTAAATCATATCAACAGTGTGGCTGACAATGTTGTTAGATACCAATGAGTCAGCTTTGATCATAGCAACCCTAATTACAACAGAATTACAATGCTCAATTATGTACGATGTTCATAATCTCTGTTTCTCTTTGTTACAGCACAGTGGTATTCTTAAAATAGTCAGAAACTAGTATTGACAGTTCTTTTCTAAAAAAGAAAAGAAACAAAATTAACAAAAATGTTTGATAGTATTAATACAATGGGGTTATTATGAGAGGCAATTGGAAATAATTTATTGACTGTGAAAAATTTGACATTCAAAACAAAGGAATAAAAAACATAAACTTATAAATATTACACAACATGTGTAATCCTGGAGCACATTATGCTAAATGAAATATCTCAGTCACAAAAGGACAAATACCACATAGCATCACTGTTCTAAAGCAGGTCTGACATGGGAGGTTGGGTGGAGAATAGGATAAGAGTGGATAGATGATAACCACTGT